CTGCTTCTCCCTCTGACCCTCCCCCCTCTCATGTGCTTGCTCTCTCTCATTCTTTCTCTTAAATAAATAAAAATAATAAAAATTTAAAAAAAAAAAAAAAAGGTGTAGACTTTTTAACAGACAAAACCCCTCTGATTCTGTTTTATTACCTTAATTGCGCAAAACACAGAATCACGGTCACCTCCTCTTTGTCCCCAGCTCCAGTGCTAATGTCTGATAGCCTTAATGTGGCTACGGATGCTATTCAGGAAGAATATACCAGCATTCCGAGGAAGGACTAACACTAAAAGGTTTAGTTAGTCCCACAGAGAGTATCTTATTAGGGTCCAGTTGAATTGCAACTGGCTTGAAGTTCCAGGACCCCCAAGATGGTGATTAGGATCTGTAAGGCATGGTTGATGTTGAAGGGATTGAGGCCTATCCCCGGGTGGCCTTTCCATGGGTTCCTTTTGGACATGGAAGATTCTTATTTACGATGGTAGCAGACTTCTTTAGGTGGAGGAACTCTCCGCCCGCAACCCAGTTGGACCCCATTTGGTATTCTAATCGCCTCGGGGCAAGTCCCGTGACTTCCTACCGATACAACATTGGAATTGTGCGGTTTAATTTTTCCTTAATTTTCTTACTAGATTGGGTTACCCTGAGGAAATAAGGATATCGTCCTTTCTGTACATACTTTTGCCAGGGCCAGTAAAAAACTACCTTGAAAAGCTTGCTTGATTGGCAAGAATTCCCCTTTCCTTGTTCTTTTCTCAAATCTGGGAATATACTGCTCCCTCCATCTGGCTTCTGAATTCTGTGTTTGTCACAGAAATCTATGGAGGGAAAAATAAGCATTCCTTCGTGGGTTGTTTTTTTTTTTTTGATCACTTTTTCTCTTTGTTGTTACTCCACAACACTGTTCAGCCCACTCGGCCTTCACTGCTGGATCAAGCTAGGGAAAATTCACCCTTTCGCTCACTACAAGCCCGGTGGGCCTCACACCTAGGTTAATTCCCTGTGTCGGAGATCTCAAGGTTGGGTTTTACTTTGGTTGGCTCCTTCAAGCACCAAGACTTTTTGTTTGTCTGTGGCTCTAATGATTTTGTCCTTATCCCCTAGTTCCCTCCTTTCTAATCCTCTATCAGAGGCTGGTCTCTTTCTGGGTGGATTTGGCTTAAAGCCATCTCAGACACCCTTGTCACACACTTCCTCACTGTGCCCTGCCAAAAAAGGATCCTTCAGCAGAAATACGCTAGCAGGTGGAAATCCTCCGTTTACTCTAATTGCATCTCTATTTATGCGCACGCTCTCTCACTCCCTGTCTTGCAATAGTGTTTATCTTTGATCTTTGTTTCTAAATGTGACAAAGTTGGGTTTTGGGCTTTTCTTTTGTGTTTGTTTTGGTGGGGGGAGTGAACGAACCACCTGATCTATAATTACCTAGAAAGCTTGGGAAGAGGGAGCGTGAGCCTTCATTCTTGTATCCACACTAAACGCGTGGGGTTGCCTGATTAACGTTGGGATTTGACAACTAGAGAGAGGATGGTGATGATGATGATGATGGCAGCCACCATTTGTTCAGTTTTATAAGAAGCTAGACACAGTGCTAAATGCTTTATATTTATTACCTTCCTCAGTCCTTCCGACAGCTCTCTGAGAGGGCTTTGAATTACTGTCCCCACTTTGCAGATGAGAAACTGGTTCAGGGGCTTTAAGTACTTTACTTGAGGTCATACAGCCAAAAAGCAATCTTCCTCTTCCCCTTCCTGATCGACCATTATACCCATTGCCCATTCTACACTTTTTATTCCATACGTGAAGATTAGATACCAGTTTTCACTCATGTGGCGGCTTCTGAAAGGCCAGGACAGTGCCCCGTATTTCTATATCCTCTGCTGTGCTGGGTACGGAGTAGGACATTCAACAATTACTTCATCTTCTGCTGATGAATTGAACTCTCCCCTTCTCCTACCTGCGCTGTGGATCATATGGGTCATTTGTGAGGGGCCCCGACTGCTGTCACTGATCACAGAAGCAACAAACGAGAGCAGGTCCGGAGATGAGCCTTCGATCAGTGGATCTGAACGCCTTGACTGTGTGCCGAGTTCTGAAAGAGCATGTCTACATGGCTAGGTGGGGGTGATCGACAGAAGGGGCATGGTTCGGGACCGCCTGGGGCTTTGGGTCAGTCGTGAAGGCATGAGTTTCTGAGAGCAGAGTAACCGACTGAACTATAAGCCTTCCCAGGATGTTACCGGGATTCCTGAGCGTCCTAGTTGGGTAGGTCCTCACTCCCACCCGGTAAACAGTGGAAGGGCCTATACCTTGGGAATGACGACATCCGCTAACAAGATGAGATTATTTCCTGAGCCCTCCTCCCTACTTCTATTAAGTGGCCCCTTGAGTTTTCTGTGAGGCAACCAAATAGCTTAGCTCAAGGGCATGTGAGCTGAGGTGGAGTATGTGCTTCTCCCCTACTCCATTCGTGAGAGCTGCAGCTTCTTAGAAAAGTCAGCTCTCTGACCTTTCCATACCTTTCCAGCGCATTCCTCAACTGGTATAAGAAACCGGGGGCTGGGACGTGGGCATCACAACTTTTGAGAGCATGTTGATCCCAGGCTTCGTCACATTTTGCCCCTGGGTCTCTCTGGGATCAACGGACTCACTTTGTGGACTGCGGAGGAAGATGGGAGCCACCCCAGTATCGCCCTTGGTGCCCATTTTGGAATACGTTTCTTGTCTCTCGTTCTAACTGAGCCATTAACCAAATTTTAATTGATGGAAATTCATTTCTCCTTTTCTTTTTTTTTTAAGGCGATGGACAGAATTTGTTTACGAAAGACGTGACAGTGATCGAGGGAGAAGTCGCAACCATCAGCTGCCAAGTCAATAAGAGTGACGACTCTGTGATTCAGCTGCTGAATCCCAACAGGCAGACTATTTATTTCAGAGACTTCAGGCGTAAGTTTCTATCTCTGTAGCATTAGGTTGCAACTTTTTTTTTCCTACATGTTGTCTCGATAAAGAGATTACCAAGGCCTCCTTTTCTAAATTTAATGTTAGATGCTTAAAGTTTAGTCAATTCTTCAGAGGGAAGAAGAGACATGCAATCATAATCTTTCTACTTAATAGAAACCTTGAATGGTCCCTTTTAAAAGTAAAGCAGTCTTACTTTGCAATAGGAATTGATTGTAGTAATTCAAGGTGAATTGCAATTGAGTCCCAAATACTTAGCTGACACAAACAACTCAAATAGGGTAAGGCAAGGAAAATATAGTATTCTGAAGGGTAATCTGTTTGGTTTGAAGATGGAAGTTTCCAAGGTAATGTGGGCCTATAAAGACAAAGCCAAAATCTCCTATCACCATAATCTCTGGTAGACAGAGGTTACCATGTGCTGAAGTCTTACCAAATGTAATATCCCAAAAAGGAATCGTTGGAACTTAATTGTACGTCCCAGAAATGGTTCAAATGGATGTCAGAGCTTTAACCAGAGCAGGAATCAGGTCTTTCAAAAGATCGCTCTTTGGGAGCATGGGTGCCTAATCAAAGCAGATGTCCCTCCACATCTGCTTGTCCCTGTTCTCCCCAACGCCCCAGAACATTCATGAACTGTGGAAAGAGTTGATAAAACTAAGGAACATCTCAGAGCACAAAGGAAGGTAAAAGAAGAGGAGCCAGCCATTCTTAGAGTGTATTTTTGTCATTATAAATGAATCTAACCTTTGCCAAAATTGACACAAGGACTTTAAAAGTGAATATTTGAAATTAATAAAAAGCCCACATACATGATTTTTGTGGTGACTCTGATTTCCTGCTTTATCTTCATCCGTTTCCCGTTGTGAAGTCGAATGCAATTAGGAAACTGCAGGCGGGGTCGGAGGCTTTGGGAGGCCCTGGGTCGTGGACTCTGGGCAGCTCCACCTCCGACGGTACCAAATACAAAGGTGCATCCAAGTTAAATTGTTTTGCTATGAAGTTTTTTTTAATTACTTCCATTTTGTTTTTGAAATTACTGATAATGATTTTTTTTATCTTCATAATTTGGAACTGCTTTTTTTTTTTTTTTTTTTTTTAAGGCCTCAGATTTTTAGAGACAACTCAAAAGCCTATATAGGTCCTACTCCCTCAACTTCCAGTGCCCACAGCCTGCGCTTTCCTTCTGTTTTCATTTTACTGAACTCTGGTGGAAAATCTGAAACAGTTTACGAATAAGGGCTGGAAACTGACAGCAAGGAGCGCACACGCGTGCATACACCCACAAGCCCTCACGTGTGTTGCTTTCCTTTCAGACAAGGCTATTTGTCTACATGCAGTTATTGCAGAAGCCCAAAATAGTAATTCAAGAAGTATGAAGAAGTACCCAGCAGGTGCACGAAGACTTACTCGATTTTTCTTCTCTGTAGCGGCTTTTCGAGTCCCCTAACATTCTCCTCCCCTAGGTAAGGAAAATGGACTGTGTAGTGTCTTCCTCCTAACGACTACCTCTGTGTTTTGTTTCACAGCTTTGAAGGACAGCAGGTTTCAGTTGCTGAATTTTTCTAGCAGTGAACTCAAAGTGTCGCTGACAAATGTCTCAATTTCGGATGAAGGGAGATACTTTTGCCAGCTCTACACTGACCCCCCACAAGAAAGTTATACCACAATCACAGTGCTGGGTAAGAAACGCGTGGGGGTGTGTCCTGGGAAGCGGAGTGGGTGGCCCTTACTGCCGGCTGGCTTCCAGCAGCAAGGAAGAGGTTAATGGTAAATTTTGCTGTTCAAACCTGTTTTAGGAAGAATCACTGCCCATCTTGCTGACTTTTAAAAATAGCCTATTTTACCAAACACTCTAAGGAATGGCAGTCAGCAGTCTTTATAGATCCCACCTGCTCTTGGGTTTCAACCCTCAAGCTTCAGAGCAAAGATCAAGAGAATTTAGAGCCCTCAAATGAATCACTCACCACATGAAATGTCATTGCTTCTAAACGACCAGGATTTTTTTTTTTCCTTCTGTGCAGGAGAGGAGGAGGTGGGTTACCACATCTGTACATCTGTACCCCATGACAGAGCTCGCTTGTAAAATCCACTTAATGATTTTTCCTGCTGAGTTACATCTCATTTAATATTGTTGATCTTATCTTTGGCTTTACTCACCGCCTTGTGTATTGCTTATACTCTAGACGATGCTATAAAAATCATACCCCATGAACACACACTTTGCCACAAATTGCAACCATTGGACATAAAAGAATTAAGAGCTTCTAGGGGCGAGGAGGCCGATAATAAGCAAGGACTGTTGACAGGCTGCTAAGGACACTTCTAGGGAGCTGAATGTCTTACGATCACCAGATTGTGATTTTCAGGAAAATCCCAGTAGCTAAGTTTCCATATTTAGATTTTGATAGAGTCAGCAGATACTCCTGTGCTGAAGGTGGTCTGAATTAGTCACCTTTTAGACAAATGTGTACACCAGTACATAACAGCAGCTGATTTGGATTTTTGAAAGCGAGTTTTCAAGGACATACACTGTAGAATGAGGCAAGTTCTCTGATTTACACCTTCAGAAAGACGATGAATCAAAGTCTATTTGAGGCGGCAGAGTGCAGCTTTTTGGTGTAATGATACGAAGATTAAGGAAGAAAGATAAATATGAAGGACGTTTCTGTTTGGTGTGTGTGAACATATATGTATTTATGGATGTACATACTGGACTGCTGCCTCATTACTGTTTAAACACAGCTGTAAAAGGGAAAATACTTTTTCATTCATTAAACTAAAACATGTCCCTAGTGCTTCCATACATGTTCGTGATGAGAGCAATACTGATTTTAGGAAGTCCTAGTCCATGTCAGGTCATGCAATTTCTAACATGGTCTGTGTTGGACGGTAGATGACTTTCAGATGTACATGTCTGCTTTAATTTTAGCATTAATCCCTATTAGGCCTGCAGAAATAATCAGCGTGAAAGGTTTTGCTGGGATGACTTAATTTGGTATTTTGCAGGTGTGCGTTGAGGTGTTCTGTCCATGTGGTTGTTGAGAAGTATTTGAAAACACTGTGCAGCCAGTGAGTTACTCGAATACACAGACTTCAAGCCGACCATCTGCCCACTGACCCGTCATTGGTTATGGCCTTTCCATAAGAGTAACAGCAATGGAATGGAATATTATAGCTTTCAGAGTATTTTTCTACCTGTACCTTTTAAGTATGACTATCTTCCACGGGAGGAAATGATAAGAAGAGAGATGAGCCATGCTGCCCGGGTTACAAAGCACATGGTGCAAATCTAGAATCTTACACCTTGAAACAGACCGTACTGTTCTGTCTCACAACCTTTGTGTCTTTTAGCCTGCGTTGTTTTCAGTAAAATCCCAAATGTGCCTGAAGGTGCACCTCTTTTGTTTTTGGGAGTAGGTCTGGCCACAGGCAAGCACTGAATGCCTGTCAGTTTCCGGAATCTGGGACATTTGTTCGCAGACCCACTGGATTGGGCCAGTTTGACTGAATATATTCAGTGCTTGGGAGTCAACATGACAGCACTAGACTTTTGAGAGGCATTTATGCCTGTAATCCTGTTGGAGGTCTGATTATTCTAGAAGTAATAGGTTCCTGCTTGTCTTGTATAGAAGCATTAACTTAAACATACTTGAAAGTAATACCAGTAGATGCTCTTTCTGCAGATAGTATGTATTCATTTAATATTCTTTCCATTGAATTGACTCTAGGATTCTTTGACGGAGTGAAATTGTTGTCATCAGTGTTGGAGTCTTTCATATTCCAAAATCTGACAATTTCCACTGATACTCATATATTCAAACCTTTTTCCTAAGGTTTAGAATTTTCAGGTATTCTAGTGAATGAAGAGTGATCTATTAGCATCTTCGTTTCTATCTATGGTTCTCTAAAAAGGATTCCATATATACTTACACAGCTGTCAAACTTCCTTCATAGGTTGAAGATGCTCATTTTAGTGCATGTGTCTATTAGCTGTTTGAAGCATTCAGCAAAAATTTCAGCATAATTACAAGACGTAGAGATGGTTATTTGTTAGTTACTAATACGTGTATTATCTGATCCATGTAAAAACTGAAAACTCACCGATGATATTTTGCATGCATTTGGGTGCCTGTTAGGATATCCATTCACTCCCTCCACTTGTGTGAGTTGGTTCCTTTCTCTAGATCATAGTGTAGAACTCTCTTTATACCAGTATTCGTGGAAACAGTGGAACGAGAAAGAGAATACACCGCTTTAAGATAAATATAGTTACTGATAATAGCAGCTAATATTATTACAGTCCTGTCCTTCTAAGATTAGTGTTCACTCCTAAGATTCCAGGAACAGGAGAACCTAATTATTTCAAAGGGTTTTGGAGTGAGATTTCACATACTGATCAGCTTTAAGACTCCTCTTTTGTTGTAATTAACGTGTGACTCATCTTGATATTGCTGATTTTTTTTTTAATGTTGTAGGCGTAATGTTTATAATGAGCACTCTTATAGATTTGAGGTTAGCTAAGAAGAACCTTGACATTTCTTTGCTATTTTCTAGTATTTCTCCCTGTGATTTCCATTCATGTTTTCATCTGTATGCACCTCCTTACATACATCTTTGGTTATTTTCATTAATGGCGGCAGGCAGTTTTTACTAAATGTGTCTGTTTAGTAGAGCACGTTTAAGTGCATTCTCTGGTTAGTAGCAGTTTTAATTCATTTTTCCCACAAATGGATTTTTATACTTTACTAATCACTTTTGTATTAGACATTGTGGAGTTGAAGGGAAAACAGGGTACAATTAATAGACCAAAATAAACTTTAACTTTTTCTTGTCCGACCCCATTTTTTTCTTTTTAGAAGGACTTAAATCACCTCGTTTATATTTTCCAAAGCTTTCTTGCTCTTAAAAAAAAAAAAATCAGAGAAGTCACCTTTATAATATCAATAAACCATTGTGACCCACGTGATCAGATTTGATTTTAGGTTTGCAAACCACACAGCTCCCGCTACCCTTGACTGTTTCTTCTCATCTTAGTAAAGTCAGAAATCCTGGCCACACTCTTGAGAACACTGTGACTCAATGACAAATAAGTCCTTTATTTTCTGGTCCCGTTTTCCACGATGTGGCGAGTTGTCCACATGTTTACTTTAGCTACGAAGTTAGATGATGTCAGCTGTTCAGGAAGATGACCCGAGGACCTAGCATGGGTAGTGGCATCCCCCTGAAGGGTTAGGGGACTTGATGGTGTATGTGTTGCAGGAGAGGAAGAAGCAGCATGGGCGATGCCAAGCAGTAGGTAATCCGTAACAAAGAGGGTCTCTTTGCTGCTGATCAGGCTCTGAGCCTCCAAACAAAATCTAAGAGGCATTGGTAGCTGTTCCTCTGCCCTCGTTTATACATGCGCTTTTCCATCTCCTTCCTTTGAACCGGCAGACATGATTGGTAATGCAGACTCTCGTCTCCGTGACCGCCTCCATCTCCCAGAGAGGAATACCCTGGAAGAGGAAGAGCTAGTGGCGGTCAGGGGGAGCCTGTGATGAGGAGAGCTAAACTGTCTTCAGGCCATGAGTAAGGGGAGCATGAAGGAAAGAGCCCCAGGAGCACACAGGACACAAATACCTGACAAAGCCTGTGTTGGAGGCTGGGTGCCATTGAGACTTGACCGTGGCACGTGCCAGAACCTCTTAACAAGTCCGGGATCTCTTCCCGTCAAGATTCCCAGGTCACCACAGAGCCACCAGCAGGGTTTTTCTCCAAAGTTACACAAGCCGGCTGGAATCCGATGGGCTCCATTGCCCTCTTTGTCCTATCCAAAGAGGACTGCTTTCCCGGAGTCTCCCCTACTCAGTTTGAATTTCCTTGAATTGCGTGCTATCTCTTTGGTTACTGTACTCAATCCCATTTCTCGTTGAGCGGCATGGCATATGCCAACATCAGGAATGATTTCCATCACTCTCCTTTTATTTTTGTCTGAACCTTAACAGGAATTACTATTGTCTGACTTTCATTTCTCCGTGTGGGGGGTGGGGCGGGGGGGGTGGCGTTCCTATGTCTTTTACTCTTTGGTGGTTTCATCTTCTTGCCTCTTACTTTGCTCCTCCTAGCTCACCGAGATCTTATTTTCTTCAGGCTTGGGCAATCTTTTCCTCTGACATTTGCTCTAACAATAGCATTTTATTTTAATATTCCTACGATACTGCACTCAGAATTTGGTAGTATTTGTTGGTCCAAAACATCTAGTCTCTGTGTGTATTCCCTATCAACTCTGTAGGTGTGTGTGATGAAAATCTATAACCATCCTGATTGTCATCTGGCAAGAATATCTATGTTCAGGAAATAGCTAGCTGAAGTCGTCCCATTTACTTTTGTCACTGCCTTTCTGTGTCTCTTAAAATGCTGGCAGATGTGCAACTCCAAATTGGATGTTAGACTATCTCTCTTTATGCTTGTTTTTTTTTTTTTTTTAATGTAAGCGAGGGTAGTTCTCTGCCATGTTTAACTACTCATTTGGGCCATATCACTTTGGCAACACATCCAATTGAGCAAATGTGTTCTTTTACACGGTGAACAAAGAAGAGGCCCGCTTTTGCTCTAATATTCACCCCCCCACACACACACACACCCCACACACTGTCTTGCTGAGAAACATATGCAACATACCATTTTTCCTTTTCCATCGTTCTCTGTAGGAATTTTCAAGTGCTTCAATTCAATGTAAAAGTCTTCCTGTACACAGAATTTTACATTGGACTCGAACAGTTGGAAATCCCAAATACGTGGTTTAATCCCATAATTTATTGAAGTGGTATCAGAGATTTATTATTCAACTTGATCATCAGGATGGCATGTTTATACATATTTAATTTCTTGTTTCTCTTCTGAGTTGAGAAACTTATTAATCATAAGTCTCAGAACTGTCTTTGCTTATTCATGGTGGTCAGGGCACATAGTCTGAGATTCACTCTGCTGAATTCCATATTCTTACTGATTTTTATTTCAAGAAGCTCCGTCTTGCGGTAGGTTGCACCTGATGTGAAGTCTCGCCATCAACTCAGTTTCATAAAAGATAACATGCTTTCTCACCGTCCCCGTCACCCTACCTAGTCTGGATTTGCTATTCTGCACTTTATCCCCCAAACATTTTATTCCATCTTATTATATATGCTTAATATGCTTAAAGAAGAGTGGTTTTAATTCTGACATATAAAATGGACTTGCAGGCACTTAATAGTCTTTTTCACCTTTGCTTTCTAAAATCGAGCATCAGATTTCAGAACATGGAAAAATTACTACAGATTAACTGGCATGTCCTGTCTTACTGCATCTTCCCATCCAGTGGATTTTATTACTATGCTGTCCATTGGAAGTCATGATTGTATCCCAGTTCTCTGTGGATAATTTTAACTGAACGAAACTGGTTCTAAAGCACAAGTTTTCTGTGTGTGTTTATGATGAGCGATTCTTTTAAGGGACTCTAAGTTTTTGATCTTTGCTGGTTGTCTTTGGAATCTTTCATATGAAGATTGAAATCCAAGGGTTGAGTTCAAGGACAGATAGTCCTTCCAGATCCTTCCTGATGAGGATGATAAATTCATTCATGTGTACTCATCTTACTTTTGGATCTACGTTCTGGTCAGTTTTCTAATAACTGATGGATAACTAATACCGCTGTTGTTATAACTTGGTCACTGATGACTTAGGAGTGGGAGGCTGGGCATTTTATAAGATAACTTTAGGAAAGAAATTCTGAATTAACAACTTTCACATAATTCACACTCTTTGATGATGACTTTTGTACTTCTTTTTTCCCCTCCGGTGGCAGTTTGTTTTAAAATCCCATCAGGAATGTCCATTAGTTGTCTCCTCTTTTTGGTAGTGGTGGTGCGAATGTCTAATGAAAAGAAGCCTATGTGCAGAAATGGGTTCTGTGTTTAATTTGTAGTCCCACCACGCAACCTGATGATCGATATCCAGAAAGACACAGCGGTGGAAGGCGAGGAGATTGAAGTCAACTGCACCGCCATGGCCAGCAAGCCAGCCACGACCATCAGGTGGTTCAAAGGGAACAAGGAGCTAAAAGGTGAGGGGCAGCCTGCCCTATCCAGAAGTAGTAGGCGGGCACCTGACTCCAGCAGGGCCACACCTTGAGGGAAATTAAAGATGAATGCCAAACATGCCCCTAAAACAAAAATGCCCACTTAGATAGGGCTCTTAATCAATTGCTAAATGCATCTGAAGCCGGAGCATAAAAGCATTTTATTGACTCTAACGCATATCCTCCCCCTGTTGTTTGAGGGTTTGTGGTGATAGGTGTTGCTAGATTTTTAAAAAAATTTTTTTTTATTATGTTATGTTAATCGCCATACATTACATCATTAGTTTTAGATGAGGTGTTCCATGATCCATTGTTTGTGTATAACACCCAGTGCTCCATGCAGAACGTGCCCTCCTCAATACCCACCACCAGGCTAACCCATCCCCCCACCCCCCTCCCCTCCAGAACCCTCAGTTTGTTTTTCAGAGTCCATCGTCTCTCATGGTTCGTGGTATTGCTAGATTTTGGCTCCGATGCTCAGAAAGAACTAGAACTCTTTAGACCAGGAAGAGTCACTGGTGGAGGTGTCCCCTGAACTCCGGGTGTCCATATTGTCCCTCAGTTCTCATTCACCCTGTGACCTCGGGTGGGTCAGCACCCCAAATTCTCATGTTGGACATTTAAAAAAAGGCTACCAGTCTTGATGGTGAATTCCGAGTCATTCTAACATGGATTGCTGCACCATCAGCTTGCTGACTGTGCTTTCCTGTAGGGGCAGGTGTGTTAAGTACAGGAAGGATCGTATCCTAATTGTGGATCTGCAGGCACCCCCTTTCTCATGGAATCTGTAACTCATGTGCACGTTTCACCAGCCTGCTCTTTTGCAAAGTTTGCAGTTTGTGATAGTGATGCAGGCCACTCCTTTAACCTCGGCCTAGGCCGCCCCAGGGTTGATTCCTGTACCCTCAAATATCTGCCCCCTTAGCCAGCGCCTCAGCCACAGCCTGTCCCCTAGTTGACCCTTCTGTGTCAGTCATCCTGAGTTAACATGTGTGTGTCGGCCTTCCTACCCCTTGCTTTCCAAGGTTGCTTTGCAAGTAATAACTGGGGGCCAGACAGCTCTGGTCATTTGACAGAAACCCCAGCTGTGTTTAGCAATTTCTGCTAATACGGGGATATTAATATTAGAGATTGTAGGAGATTCTCAGGCAGATGAAATGAGTGAATGTTTGTAAAGCATGTAGCTGGTATCTGGGCCAAGGTAAGTGCTCGGTGTGTGCTTCTTGAATAAATCAAGAGTGCCAGGAAGAAAAGAATAAGGCCTTTTAGAAAGGGGATATAAAAATCTATATCTAGAAACAGATAAATCTATATATAACAGCTTAAGTTTCAAAAAGCTTGCTCTGTTTTAATCTCCTATTTCCTAGGTATGGTTTTGGAAGGAAGGAGTTTCTCATTTCCCCTCTGCTTTTCTAAGTGAATTGAGCCATTAAATGCCTACCGATAAGTACAAAACATTAAAAGAAAGTTAATGGTGTGCCATGTCCCAGGGAGTGCTGAGTTCAGGAAAGGGGCTGCCTTGGCCTATTCATCCCATCCGGAAGCCTCCCCCCTCCTTTTCTGGGTGTTCTTGGACGTGTCTCCCGTCTGGCCCGAAACCTCTATCTTACTTTGCTCTACCCACTGCCACTGCGGGTTTTTTTGTTGTTGTTGTTTTTTCGTGGTCTTCTAAAAGTCTCAGAGTTTACACATTTCAATTACAATTTCAATTATGTAAATCCATTTAGTTACTTTCCCTCTTAATTGTTGCTGATGGGGGTGGGCAGAGGGGATTGTTTATATCTCTATTCCTGATTGAATTACTTCGGGGATTTGGATGATGTCCTGGAATTTTTAAACCGCATGACAGCCTACTAGACGTTTCAAGTTCAGATGGTGGTTAGGGGTGAAAAGCACTTCTCTTTTCCTCCTCCAAAATGCCATAAGCAGTCAGATGGCAAAGTGGTTCAACTTTCAGCTGCCTTTTTGTGGGAGGTTTTAAGATAGAAGACAACATATGTAATATATTTAAATAAAAATAGTATCTATTATGTGGGGTAGAAGTGCATCTTACATACTATCCCGTAAGGTTGAAAAGTAGGAAATTGTCATTTTACCCGTTATCTACCCACAGTTTAACCTTATCCCGAGTGGCTTCCATCACCTTGGTTAAAATAGCAATGTCAGGGCAGGGAGAGGAGGCTATAGAAACAGAGTGGTAGGAATTCACGCAACTCTGATTTCTTGGTCTATTCCGTGTCCCCCAGGCAAATCGGAGGTGGAGGAGTGGTCAGACATGTACACTGTGACCAGTCAGCTGATGCTGAAGGTGCACAAGGAGGATGACGGGGTCCCAGTGATCTGTCAGGTGGAGCATCCAGCTGTCACCGGAAACTTGCAGACCCAGCGGTACCTTGAAGTACAGTGTGAGTACCTGTCTTAGTCCGTTCAGGCTGCTCTAACACAGTAGCACCGAGTGAGTAGCTCATAAGCCACAGTCATTTATTCCTCACCATTCTGGAGGCTAAGAAGTCCAAGATCAAGGCGCACCATCACGGTTGTGTTCTAAAGAAAGCCTTCCCTCTTCCTGCTTCGGAACCACTGCCTTCTTGCTATGTCCTCTCAGGGTGGAAGGGGCTAGAGATCTCCAGAGCTGCTTTCAAAGGCCCCGCCTCCTCATATCATCCCAGTGGGCATTGGGATTTCAACATAGGAATTTGGGAAGGGAGGGACACAAACGTTCGTTCAAATCGTAGCAGTACCTGAGTATTTTATCCTGAGTGCATAGAGTAGCAGTTGCTTAAAAACTCTTCAGAAGCCATTTATTGAATACATATGATAGAGTTTATATCTTGTTGTCTTAGTGGTGAAATAATCAAAGGATTATTTTAGTGAAACACTGCCATGCTACGGAGTGCCAAAGAGGATTTTCGAAATACTACATTTAACCCAAATGGAAAACTTTAAAATGATTCCAATCTGTTCTATCACATGACTTAATTAATTGCATTTTGTGAGTGTTGACTATAATCATTTCTATGTCAACTTCACAATGTAGGGTAGTCCCTCCCACTTTCTTAGCCCCAGCAGAAGTGCTGAATTTTTTTGTTATAGAGGGGCTTTTATTCCCCTTCTCCATTAGCATTTTGTTTTAAAGTGCATGTTCTCTTCCATTTTTAGCTTAAAGCATGGCAGTGAGTTTAAAAGTGGAACTCTTCTGGAATCGGTGCCACAACCTCAATGGCTTCATCGATAACAGCTAGATCGTGGGGAATGAGGTTGTCTCCTCACTGTGCCCAATGAACTAAAGACATTCTCCTTGTTTTCTCTGTGGACTCTTCTGCTTGCCAAAATGTTTTCTGCACAAAACCATGCTTGCAGCAAAGTTGTGGCCAAGTAGCCAACTTCTCACTTTTTTATCAGAGAGGTTCTGTAACTGAGCCTCTGAAAGACTGCAGTTGATACTTGAGTGTGCATAGTGGGAAGGGTGCAAGAGTCTGGTTGGAAAGGCAGCCGCCGGGGGTCTGATAAAGGCAAAGCATTACAGTCTATTAATTCTTCCGTTAATTTCCTAGCGCTGCCATAACTAATTACCACCGACTCCGTGGCTTAACATGACACATTTATTCTCTCGTAGTTCTAGAGGACAGAAGACTGAAATTGAGGGGTTAGCAGGACCACGCTCGCTCAGAAGGCGCTAGGAGAAGAGTTTTTCTTGCCTTTTCTGGCTTCTGGGAGTCCCAGATATTCCTTGGTTTCTGGCCGTGTCTTTCTAGTCTCTTGCTTTGTCTCAACACGGTCTTCTCTTCCCTGCGTGTCTCTTAGATGGACACTTGTTGTTGGAGTTAGTGCCCACCCAGCTAATCCAGAATGGTCTCATCTCAAGATCCTGAATTTGATTACATCCACAAAGACTTCTCTTTCCAAATAAGGCCATATATGCAGGTTCCGGGGCTAGGAAGTGAGCCTGTCTTCTGAGGGCCACCGTTCAGCCCGCCACAATCGCTATCACATGCATACATTGCCTGAGCAAAACAGGGTCCAGGGAAAGGTGTAAAAAGTGGCTTCTAGGGCGCCTGGGTGGCTCAGTTGGTTAAGCGACTGCCTTCGGCTCAGGTCATGATCCTGGAGTCCCAGGATCGAGTCCCGCATCGGG